GTCATTCGGGCGTGCAATCGCCACGGGATTCCCGCCTTCCTCGAGAACCCCGCCTCTTCCTTCCTCTGGTCCGCTCCCCCGCTCATTAGACTCTCCTCTCTTCCCTCGCCTCAGAGCCTCGTGTTTGATTTTTGTGGATTTGGGAGCCGCTGGCGTAAACGAACTCGTGTCCAAGCTTGGGGGAGCGGTTTCAAAGTTAAGCTGCCTCGCCTTTGTAACGCCCGTGGCGGCCGTTGTGTACATTCTGGCAAACATCACATCGTTTTGACAGGGAGAGACCCGTCTTCGGGCAAGCTCTGGACCCAGGTCGCCCAAATCTACCCTCGTCGAATGGCCTCGACTTTTTCCGCTGCAATAATGAACTGTGTTCAAGGATTTCATTTAGCGCGCCTGCAGCGTCTTATATCGTTCTAACAGTTTTATCGGCCATTTTGGTCAGAAGCCTTCTCGGGACTTGGGGTCCCTTCTCTCCCTTCCGCTCCTGGTCGGTGTTGGTGTCCTCCTGCCTGGTCCTATCCTTCCTCCGCCGCCGGCTGTCCCCTGGCACGAGGCGGCCCGTCGTCGTGTGCAGTCTGCCCGGCCTGCGAACACAAAACAGGTCTCCGGTTTGGTTGGAGCGCTGGATGGCCGTTCTGTGAACTTTAACCCAGAAGCAGAATGAGAGCCGCCGAATGTCGTTTGTCACTGGCACTCACATTTGTTGCTCCATAGCCTTTTCTCTCGCCCGCCCTCCCTTCCCTTCCTTCCCCTCCGCTCCTGGTCGGTGGTGGTGTCCTCCTGCCTGGTCCTCCTCCTCCTCCGCTGCCGGCTGTCCCCTGGCACGAGCCGGCCCGTCGTCGTGTGCAGTCTGCCTGGCCTGCGAACACAAAACAGATCTCTGGCTTGGTTGGAGCGCTGGATGATAATGATGACGATGATGATAATGGTGATGATGGAGATGATCATGGCAACGGTGATGCTGATTCAGGTGATGATGGTGGTGGTGGTGTTGCTGATGAGGGGGAGGATGAGCAGCGGCATCGACGGAACGGGGAGGGAGACTGGGTGATGACGAAATAGAGGGTGATCCCGCTGGTGCTGCTGCTGCTGCTGCTGCTGATGATGATGATGATGTTGGCGACGCTGATGGTGCTGCTGATGATGATGTTGGTTATGATGATGATGATGTGGGCGATGAGTATGAGGATTGTGATGTTCATGGTGATACGGTGGATGATGCCGGTACTGCTGATGATGCTGAGAATGACAAGGGTAGTTGTGATGTTGATTATGGCGATGACAATGCTGATGTTGATGGTTACGACAATGATGGTGATGATGCTGATGGTAGTGGTGGTGATGGTGATGGTGATGATGATGATGATGGTGGTGATTTGTATCATGATGATTATGATGTTGGTGGTGATGCTTAGGCTCAAGCCGACGAGGCTGCTGTTGCTGCGGACGACGACGATTGCCATGATGATAAGCATGAAGATGGTTTTGACGACTGCGTGCCGTCGGTAATGATCGTAACACGGACAAGTCCTACGCTGTTGATGATGCCAAGGATGGTGTTTTTATGAGGGTGTTGATGATGAGGGTGAGGGCGATGATGATGTTGTTTTCGATGATGATGATGCTGATGATGATGATGATGATGATGATGATGATGATGATGATGATGATCACAACGATGGCGATGGTTATGCCGAAGGTGCTTGTGATGGTGGTGAGGATGATACTAATGATGAGGATCCGGCGGAGTGGGAGGATGAGGAAGAGGCCAAGGCGGAAGAAGGAGGGGGCAGGAGGATGAGGAGGAACTGGACGAATCTGACGATGATGCTGATGATGATGATGCTGTTCTTGATGATGATAGTGATGTTGCTTCCTCATTGATGATTGTGATGATGATGCCGATGATGATGCTGATGCTGATGCTGATTTTGCTGGTGATGATGATGATGATGATGATGCTGATTATGGTAGTGCTGAGTCTGACGATGATGATGTTGATGATAATGAAGCTGATGATGGTGATGATGATGGTGATGTTGATGGTGGTGGTTGTGGGGCAGAGGAATGAGGTGGATGGGGACTGAGAGACGGAGGGTGACGATGACTGTGACGATGATAATGCTCATGATGATGCTGATGGTGATCATGGTGGTTATGATGACGATGCTGCTGTTGATGATGGTCTATGTGTTAAAATTATACGGTGTAGCTATGGTGGTGATACTGATGTTGATGTTGATGGTGATGATGCTGATGCTGATGCTGATAATGATTGTGGTGATGCTGATGGTGATGATGAGGATTAGGATGCGGACGATGATGCTGATGATGCTGATGACGACGATGCTGTTGATGATGATGGTGATGGTGATGGTCAGGATGATGATGATGCCGATGTACCATGATTGTGATGATGATGCTGATGCTGATGCTCATGCTGCTGGTGATAGTGGTTGGTGGTTGTGGTGATGATGCTGGTACTGACAGTTAATACGTGCTG